TATAAAACAAAGGTTACCAGCTCAAAATCTATGTGATTGTGATGCTAACCAAAAGACAGGTGGATACCTTTCCAAAACAATATACATGTACATCACATGGAGCTTTGGCTGGTAGCCTGATTTGTCAAGCAAGGTATTTTTCATGCTTAAGCAAATTTTGTGCTTAAGCAGCTCTATGAAATTGGCCCCTGCTCTTTGAATGTTACCCTGTAGCAACTCTCTCTTCAATTTCATTTTTTATAAAAGAGGGAATTCGTTTTCCACAGCATAACAAGGCAAATTTAGAACCATGTTTAAAGAGTGCACGATATCTGCCATGTAGAGTCCATGAATGGAATAGTTACATGTGTACATACACAATCATCATAGGGTGAAGGTTGAAGTACCGATACTTGGAACCCATATGTCGGCAAACAGATTTACATGTCAAGACAACTACTAACTACGAGATCAGGGTTTTTCTTTGAAATTTTAGTGCTTCACTAGAATCTGTGCAGAGATGATTTTTGCATGTTACATACATTTACAATGTATTGTAACCTGTTCCAGAGATACCAATACACATGTAAAGATCCCTCTCGTGCAATGCGATCTTTGAAGGAAAATTACAACCTTGTTTGCAGGTGCCTGTACACACTGTATGCAGATGTTCCATACACGCATGGGTACTGATCCACATACATGTACATGTATATTCAAAATATGGTACAGCCGATGAGTGTCGGAAAATTTGAAGTTTATACTGCCAATGGGATGCATGTTGCAATTTGCAGGAAGTGACATCATCTGAGAAAGACCTTTCAAGTGAGAACACTTTCTTGACACCCATGATGAATGTCAATTGTTTTGTGGGTGAAAAAAAATGAAACGCTGCCAATGAATAGTGCACAATGCACAATGCAAGTATTTTTAAGAATCAGCTCCCTTGAATGTTTTATCGTAATATTCATAGTTGATACTCTGCTTACTTTGTATTTCAAGTTTTCTTTACTCATATTATTTCAATTATTCTTTATATTTTTATCATAGATATGTAGTTTCATCTGGTTCAATTTTAGCTCTCTATTTATTTCTTGTCTTATGATTGTTCACTGGGACTTGTGGGAGAACAGTTTTTTACGAACTGAATGAGTTACCTAGTATAAATAAAACATAAATAAATGCAAGGTACATGTACATACACTGCACCAGTACATGTACATGGCAATGCCATAAAATTGGCACACATCATTTTCATCAACCCACTACAGACTCCACATGAAAGTAAAGTGTGTCCTATCACCAGTGGCAAAGGGCAACTACCTGTGCATTTACAAACACGCTTAGGATTGCATCAGCAATCCTAGCAAAGAGGCACTACTGGTTGTGCACATTCAGCTGAAATGTACTATTCCTCCAAGTAGTTCATGAACCGATCCGTGATCCCAACAAATGGGGCATACTGTATTACCAAGATCAAAAGATCGGCTCGGCTTTATTGTAATAACAATAACTTAAGTTGTAAAAAGTTTCTAGGATGTACATGTACTGTAGTTGGGCTTTTATACAGGATGTGCAGTTGAGATAGCTTCTGAATGCAACATGTGTATTGGAATTCCAGATGGCAGGGATGTGAAAGAAAACTTTCTGAGCTGAAATTACATAATTCAGAGAATGAAACAATGGATATCGCTCCTGCTGGCCAGACTGGGCCATTGTTTTATTTGGACACCTCCAGGATAATACATGTACCTGCAGGATTTAAAGGGGGGGGGGCACTCCCTCTTCCTGGATGGTTTGTACCAGAGCTGTATCTAGAGAAAGTAGTGCCAACTTCAGACTTTGAAACCAGAATGGCTGTTCATGATGTACGCAGTACAGCATGCAACTATTGTGTGCTAAATGTCCATGTACACTAACACATAATCCACCATTTTAGTTCCAACATTTGATGACACTCATGTTGCAAGTCCCTCTATAAGAAGCTCTGGCTCGGACTGATGCATTCATGAGCTAAGTGTCATCAGTTCACATCCCACAGAGGGATGAAAACTTTACTTCACTTATTTCACATCTGAATAGAAAAAGGAGGGAGTGGGTTAAGTCAGCCACTTTGCTTAACTGCTTGGGAAGAACTGCACCTCCACTGATACGTGTATGTATGCACTGATTTCCCTGATGCAAACACATGAACCCAGCAGGCACAAAACGGCGTGATGCAGTACTCTCATTTCAGTTCCGGTATTGTTGCTTGGCCACGGGTCTGATTGTTAGACTGCTAACACTCTGTCTTTGGACAGTCTGATGTTCCTTACCTTTTTTTATGATGTATGTACATACATGTGCACCTGTGCTAATGAGGGGATATTTTAAAGGCAGGCTTGCCTTTGAGCCTGTGTTCCCTTCAAGGAAAGGTTTGTGACATTTGCCATGTCATTGCAGACTGTTTGCAAACTTTGGCCAAGCTTGCGTAAGTGGAAAGCACCCAAAGGGACGTGCAGTGGCTTCAGCAGTCTAAAAACTCTGATTATCCATCTATTTGGCTGGTTCTCTCCCAAAATGAATATCCTTCTTTAATCCGGTGCTTGTCAGAAGTCACACACTGTTCATTACTGTTCAATTGGGGATCTAATCCCAAGTCAACACCTCCCCACACACACATTTAATAGCAAAGAGCAACATCTGTTAAAACTTCAGACAGAATCATCCTTGGCCAAAACCAAGGGCCTTGTGCACTATTTACAAGGAAGGAAATCCGCATGTATAAATACACATCCAGGCTATTTATAACGACTGGAATTTCCAGTGAAATCCAGGGATGCCCTTTCAAATTACTTCCTCTTCTGTCTGGGTTGCAGAGCCTTCCCGCTGCCAATGAACTTTTGGCAATCTTCTCAACAGCTTCAAAAGCCAGTGATGACAAGCAAAAGGAAACACAGTTACATGTAGCAGAAACAATTTCTACAGGGAGTCTCAAGACTTAGATTTCTATTCTGAACCAATATTTCTGCAACAACCCAAGTTTTTCTTAATCCTAAACAGGTTAGTGGGCTGAAAGACAGAATCCACTGCTTGTACATTTTTTCCAAAATCGCCTTATCCATTTTGGGCTCATGCTGGACCTTTCTCTGTCTGTAAAACAATATCTTGCAACATTTTTGGTACCAACTTCGTACATTGTTCACATAGAGTTCTCAAAAATGTCAATTGTCTGTAGACAGCATACCGGCAGGAACAAATTCTCATTCGTGGATGATAGTGTACGATACAAAAGGCTTTTATAATAGTTCTGCTGGGCTGAAACACTACAGACGTACATGTACAGACATGCACTGGTCTACATCTATACCAATTTTTCATAAAATTAGCCAGTACAATGCCAAGAACCGATGCATGGGGTGGAACCTCCCGCTTGCGAATATGAAATTAACCTGGTTCCAAAGGGCTCAGCTTCAGCCTTGCACGCAGTTTCTGATTTGGCACACTCACTGTGTTGACATGGACTGTCAAATAATGCATATTAAAACAATGGCAAGGACCTTGGGACCAACCTGTGCCCAAGATCACAAGTCATGCGGTTTCAGACACTGAACAGGGAAGTCCACTCCACAAATCTGTGTGTGCTGTTTTTGCAATCTGTAATGTATTCTTCGGAAGTTGAAAAAGAAATCTGAGGAAATCTGCTGATATCAAAACAGCTCCATGCCTCGGTGTATTACAGTGTGACTATCTTGGGGTGTGTTCAATGACAGTGGCCTTCATTCACCACTAGAGTCCGGTGGTTTACTGTTCACACATCCTTGCACTGATGACAGAACTTAGAAGCCCCCAGTAATGGCAGAATTGTTTAGGCAAGGTACTGGTAAGATATCCAACACAAAGGAAGAAAACCTCATTGTTACACTGGGTTGTGTCCCAAAAAAGACTGAAATTTTCTTCTATTTTGCTGGCTGTAGTGTTCTACACTTTGGTGATTCGTTGTTGTGTAAGTACTATACATGTACATGAATGAGGCAAGCAGGCAACCCTTTTCTCAGCAGTGTTTTTGAGTGAATTCCGGGTTCACAATTTGAACAGAAAATCCTATCCACTCAACATCTTCCTCAGATAACATGACAGCAACAGCGTCCGCAGTTGCCCAGGAATCATGGACCATTTGGAACATGCCAAAAAAGTACACTTTTCAGCACATTTAAGCTACATGTACATAGTTTGTGTACAACAGAGAGGAGTCTGAAGTTGGAGACAAGTGTGTCTACGGAAAATTCGTTAGTGCCCACCCTTTAATTTGGACATTCGTTGGCATGTTTCTTCTGCAATTACTGTGGCCATTAATAGCAAAGATCATAAGGGGAACTCATGCTTAGTCTGGTCAAAGCTATAGGCCATGTCAGGACTGTTCGGCTATGACTAGATATACATGTAACACATGAACCAATGAAAGCTGCTAGCTTAGAGGCTTAATCCTTTTCCCATAGCCCCGTGTGTTATTGCCAGCCAGTCTCGTAGCTCAGTTACAAAACCTGAAAGAGAGCAACAAGGAACTTCTCAGCTGATCAAAAACATGGAGCTTACAAGGAAGTTGGCGGGGGGAAAGTACAGTACTTACTCAGGTCCAGCTTGTCAGATGCCTTGACCATCTGCTCCTGGCTGGCCAAGGGTAGCTTGGTTTCCAGTTCGTGGCGGAGAGTGAGTGACAGGCTGCGAAGGAGGAAGAACACGCGGATTGCCTGCAGCAGGAGAGACACGAAAGAACCATCAACGTTACTAAATAGCGGTGTGCATTTACCACAAGTAACCCTAGTAACCCGTACCCTCTTTATTAAAGTACAATATTGGTAACCGAGTACCACTGAAATAAAAACCTAAAGCCCATGTAAAAAAAAAAAAAAAAAACATGCAAAATTTTCAAACTGTGATTCTGTATTTTCAAAATTGCTTACCAACAACTCTTGGACAAAAACTTGAAATACATTTTGGTATTCAGTTTAGCGTGGTTTTCATTTGAAAATTTCACAGCAAAAGCACTTTATTTCTTTATTTTGAAAGTTACACGTACAGAGTAATTTATTAAGTTAGTTACAGACACCCAGTCCCATACAGGTATTTAAGAACTGGTTTTGACTACTCAGGTACCCTGTTGCGATGCACAATTTTATAACTGGAGACTGGTAAGTGGGAATGTGGGACGTAGCAGAGGAATGCCGATAATGCACATTTGAAAGGCAAAAGTCCGAAATGTTTCTACACGCAAGACAAGTCGGAGCAAGCCAGTACCAGGAGAGAGTCATTTCAAAAAATCCAATATCAAAATATTTGAAATTTCATTCCCCACGATATCAATACATTTAATGCTTCTGGAAGAAGGATTTACACGTGCATTCATCAAATACAGCATCTGAAATATCATTACATTATCTGCTCTGCGTGGGAACAAGAAAGGCTGTGCTTTTACATGGATATGACGGTCCTTTGGTGGGAACTCAACGCATTAGCGTGCAGGTTTATGAGACTTTGGCATGGGTGCAGTGAGTACGGACAACCAATTGATACAGGAATGTATGGTCTTCGCATGTGTGCCGGGCACGTGCATGAGCTCATTCAAAAAACTTCCCACCAGTCTCTCCTTCGCCAATGAGGGGGCACTTCAACTCAGGGCAGATTATTAACTAGTTCATTCTAATGAACTACCACTGACAGCATGAAGCAACTTTAGCAAATGGAAACAAGATAAAACTCTATGACAATAGACCTCTTTCCTGTGATGTCACGATTGTGCTGGACCTATGTGTTGTCACGGTGATAGTAATGAGTGCATAGTGTTGTGGTAGTAATCTTCTTATTCAAGATTAACTAATCTAACATGCAGCATTGGCATATGCGCTTGCACGTGCTTGAAGCTGCCCGAAGGAATATATGTGATCACCGTGGCCACGGCGGTCCACACGTGATGGTATTGTTTACATTTAACGCAATCCAGTCACGTGGGTGAAAAAGGTCTATACTAGTCTCATCGCTTTCTTTTTATCAAACTCCACTAAAGAATGGTCGGCTTTCTTGAACGTGAAGATCAAAGTTCATCGATCAGATTTGAAAAGTTGTGCCTCAACTCACCCTCCTGGTTCGCTCCAATTCTCCAGAGGGCAGGCGCTTGATAAAGTCAATGCCAGTGAGTGGCGTTCCAGTGGGGGGAAGAAGTATAGATTCATCCATCATCAAGTATTCCACATTCAAGGGACGGGTCTGAAACAAGACAAGAAACAGTATAAGAATGAATTAAAACTGCAAATATCAGACTTTTTCAGTGGGTTGCAGTAATGAAATTTCTGTAGTCACACTTTTCTTCAACTATATACTATTCTTTAATGTGTGAAAACTTGGTTACATGTAGGGAAAATTGCACTTGTTTAACTCATCAAACTTTCCCACGTTTAACGAACAATTGTGAGTGCTGTTCACGGAAGACGTGGTTCAAGGGATAGGCTTTTCATTTAAAATTGTGAGCCCTGAATTTTCTCAATGAAAACATTTCTGACAAAGGGTGACTTACTGTTTTATTGCTATGTACAAGTACTTCCATAACAGAGAAATCATCATGAAAAGAAAACTCAGGCCAACAAACCATGAAGAAAAGGGCAATTGCTTTCTTGTGCACAAACCAATGTAACAGCGACGTTAAATCTGCCAGGATGACGTCACAGTGTTGCTCACAAATATGAAAATACTCATTAGTATAAAAACCAAAGCAGTAGCAAAATGCTCACTAAAATAGTGAAACAAATGTTGAAAATGAGGCTTTAAAAAGACCAAAGTTGTGCCGTTCAAGTGTGCCTCAGTCCGTGCAACCTAAACAGTGCCCATGACAAACCCACACAACTTGTTGAGACAACTTACCGTCATACTTTGGTACTCGTCATCAAACATGTCCAGGAAGAGCTCGTCTCCTCGGTAGAAGTTCCTCAAGAGCAGCATGCTTTCTTCTTTGGCTCCCTGAAAGAAGATAAACAGGAGAAAAATCCACTGATTTCACCCTTAGTGGAGAAAAAGTTTCATGTTGTCATTATTAAAAGATAGCATCAGCATCAGCATCACATCCACTACTCAAAAAGACGCCATAGACCTTTATCTTGATGGTGTCATGTTTGTCTTGTTACTTGTAGACCCACTGGCAACAGCAATACAACCTTGCAATATTGATAAATGGGAACAGCCTATTTTTTGCTTGCAGCCTCAGTTGGTTTACATTGGTTTGAATGATAGAAAAGCAAGATGGCTGCCCCACAATAAAGGTCTATATTCACATTAAATTATTGTGGCTGAAATTACACGAGTTCACGACAGTGGCTGCTGCAACTTCAACTAGTCACAGGTAATTTCACGCAGCAGCTTCAAGTAGGTAATATTAGATACAGCCTAACCAGGTCACATGTTTGTGCCCATTCAGATAAAAACCTGAACCAAAAACACAAGCAACTGAACTGAGAGCTACCAATATGCACACAGGCCCTGTACAGTTCTTCCACAGAGCCAATAAACCCCATGAGGATAGAAAGTGTTCTGCAAATGTAAAGCGAAGGCAAAATAACAAGTGAGGGTCATTTCGAAATTTATCAAACAAGTGCGAGACATCACTCTGCATGAGGTTCATCACCAACTCCAAAAAATCCATATTGGTGCTACAGAAACAATTCCTTAAAATGAAAGGCAACCAATGCAAGGTAATACTTCAAAGCAGAGGGCGCTATTTAACGACAGCAGTGATGACTAACCTCGACACCAGCTAGATGCTTATCCTCAAGGAAACAGCGGCTGGTTGCAGATGAATACACAAGCTGCTTGAGCAGGAGACTAGCCATCTCCAGGGTTACTGGACGGATACGACTATTAAACTGGCAACTCTGTCCCATGACAGAAATCAGGCAGTTCACCAAGATCCTGCTGTAATTGGTCTTGTCCTGTAAGAAACAGACAAATAACATTAAGCAAAAATAAGGCAGACTTCAAACTTTGTTAATAATCAGTTACGTACTGTTCGAAGAGCAGAAAAAAGTTAACAGTTAATATGCAAATTACACCTTCAAAAGTACACTGAAAGACAAAATCTAGCCAAAAGTGCTCCATGTATGGTAGATTGTCCATCAAATATTGCAAATTACAAATAACTGTTGAGACAACCTGACATCAACAGTTATGCAAGTAGCATTGCTTTCATGGTCAGAAAACTGGGCATTTTGAGGGGAATCATTTATAGTGTGTGCACAATTTGAACTGTTGCTTGTTTGGTGTACTGTGCAAGTTTTTCCCCCTTTATTTCTTACTTACCTCAGACCTACTTGACAAGCACACACTGACCAACAGATCTTGTTTTATACCTGTAAAGAGAAAACAAAAAGCGATTTCAAATGTTGCCTCTTTGTCAGCAAAGCTAAACAACCCTTTTGAGAACCAAAACAAAGTATGTGAATTATTGTACGCATTTATGTCAACTGCGGAAATGTGAAATATATTTCTTGCTGAAAATCTAAAAAAGTCAAACTGCCATATTGATATAGTTTCCAGACTTCTACGCATATGCATGTAACTTCCAGTTAGGGGAAAAAGCAAATTTAGACAGGAAGTAACTAGACGGTCACTTCCAGGTTTTATGAGGTTTCTATATTGGTTTTTGAGGAACTTCAGTGTAGATTCTCAAGTAACCACCTGCATGCTTCCCTTCAACGGGGTGCCATGTTGATGGCTTCCTGTGGCAACATGTATTCCATTCTGGTTTGAGTTCGCCAGGCATATACATGTAGATTAAAATAACCTTCAGTCATCAAAATCACCGGCGATGGTAGAATTACAACTGCTGTCTGCACCATCATTGTTGTCACTGTAATCATCCTTATCAACGGCAGTTTTCACAATGGCAGCAAATGAAGCAGTGACCGCAGAGAGACAACCCACACCATTCCACATACCTTCATTGGACCCCATGGCGTACAACAGACACAGCGAGATCAGTGCTTTGTAGTCTCCTTTGCTTGCATCTAATGCGTTGATGATGGCTTGCAGGTACGGCCTGAACGTCAGAAATACCAAATATTTCTTAAGTCCAAGACATTATAACCGAATGCATAGAACCATTTGATAACAAGATTTTTTTTTAATTAATGCTCTTTAATCACCTCACAATACGGACGATTCACAGTACAGCGAGCCACCAGAAGTTTTCCTCAGACAGACCACTTCTCAAGTTTACGGTCGATGCGCACTGCCGTGATTATTGCACACTTCATACTCAATTTGGGGATATTTGGTTGATTGAGGCATTCCCTGAACCACACAAACCATAACTTGGACTACCGAACACCCAATAAGTAGTTTTGAATTTTCAACCAAGATTTTCCACACACAGCGCAGATAGTGTATGAGACTGTGTCAACTAATTATCCCATAATGCACTGGAAAAAGGTCTCTCTGTGACTACCTCATGGTGGCGCACTGCACTGTGAATTACCCGTATTCTGCAACTTTACTTTATGCAGACTTTTGAACAACACACTGCCCTGGACTCTTCACAAGACTTTAAAAAAAAGCAAGGACTTTTTCTAGCAACGAATTTCCACGACCTTCTGCTAAGATTTCTGAACAACACACTGCCCTGGACTCTTCACAAGACTTTTAAAAAAGCAAGGACTTTTTCTAGCAATGAATTTCCAGGACCTTCTGCTAAGATTTCTGAACAACACACTGCCCTGGACTCTTCACAAGACTTTTAAAAAAGCAAGGACTTTTTCTAGCAATGAATTTCCAGGACCTTCTGCTAAGATTTCTGAGCAACACACTGCCCTGGACTCTTCACAAGACTTTTAAAAAAGCAAGGACTTTTTCTAGCACCGAATTTCCAGGACCTTCTGCTAAGATTTGTACAGAAGATTTCTCATCGTGGTTGAGTCCGTCCCAACCCCTTTTATAAATCCCTTCTCAAGTCCTTTCACAAGACCAGTCCAAGTAACAGGGTGAATAATGGCGACGTAATGATGCCTTTTGTCACAGTGCATCTGAATAGCTTGTGACTTGGCTAAAGACTGGATAAATTGTGACGGACAGGGCTACCAAAAAATTCCTATGAAGGGCAAAGACGCCCAACATAAAATTCAGAGGAAAACCTCGGCTGTCTTTTGAGGCACAAACAAACCTCCCGGATAGCTGCAGTTCTGACTGTCTGGCCTCATACTCTGCGGACGTCTTCTCTTCGTCAGTACAGTTCAATCCAGCCATGGCTTCAATCTGCTCAATGCTGGGTATCATCACAGGTTTCTCTGGATGCGCGATGATGAAATGAGGACAAACAAGTCTAACATCAGACTGGAAAAATGTGTAATTTCTGGCTGTGCACTTCAATACAACCAATTATTTATCGCTAAACATTTCAAATTCACTCAGTTCAACAAAGCTTAGACTAAATGAGGAAAACAATTCCAGCAATAGACTAGCAATGACCGTGCACAAACTTGTATAACCTAATACCTATAACTCATATACTTAATATAAAATCTGCTTATATACATGTATGGGTCATTCTATAAATAAAGAGTCCAGTTGGAAAATCTCAGTTTTCAGACTTTTGAAGTGCTTTTGGGGAAAATGCACATGCACACAGCTATTATTTTGTAGTGTGATTATGTCTCATAATCAGTTACAATAAATGGAAACATGCCTTCAAGATTACTTTTCATGTTTTTTTTCCCAAGGCTAAAAAAGAGGTTGTAAACCTTTGATTCTGTGATAAAAAGGGGAACAAAATTTATTACCTGCATGTGTGCAGTATTTCCAAATGTCTGGTGTTCTAAATATTATAATTTTCTGATTAGAAAGACTGAGACAGATATCTTCTCAATAAATAAATATGTTGAAACAGGTTGGTACAGTACTACCACTTTCCTTTCAACCCTTGGTCTATCTTGGGTATCACACCATAACATTTCGTGTCCCAGGCTTTTATGTGAGGAAGAATGATAATGCTCAGGCGATTAACAGCAGAATAAAACAATGTCTCTAAAGTTCGTGCACGCATGATGCTAGACGATCCCCATGTTTTGAGAATTCAGAAAAAGAGTGCCATCGACTAAGATATGGAAATGTTCATCGATATTTATGGTTTCGTGTCTTTTGGATTTTGTCGGTGTGAAGTGCACAAGATGTGCCTCATTTAACCCTAACTGCCCAAAACCTGCCATACTCCAACAGCAGGTTTTGTGAGGTTTTGGCAGGTTTGGTACCATACCTGAGGAACNTAAAAACTCCAGCCAGTCCATGTTACTGGGAACGCCCGACGTCACTGATGGCTCCCCTCATTTTAATATGCTCTTCTAAGTCTTGCCGGTCCACGATCACTACAGCCAGCTCTATGGCCTGCTTCTAAAAAAAAAAAGCACACCTGGCAAAGTCCCTGCTTGCCGGCGACTGGAGCGGCAGACCTTAATGACGGTTCAGTTCTTTTATACCAGAATCAACTGACTTGCTATACCTGCCCCCCAAAATGCAGTATCATTTTTAAGTTTGAACCATGCTGCAGTAGGAAAGCATTTAGCACCCACCATACTTGAAGGCTGATTCAAGTCATGTATGAACTGACCTTAATGCCGAAGTACATGTATTCAATTTTAAGGCTCTGTTTTGTTTCACCCTACGTGTATTCGACAAACAGCCACTGAGAGCAGCTTTGCGTCATTGCCAAGAAAAAAGTTTGGGAACTGCATGTGGAGGTTGTGAGGTTATCCGTCTTAGTTCCAGGCATCAGGGATTATTTGGGTCATTGTAGTAGAGCACCGTTCCACGTTTTGGGAATCGCTACACTAACCAGCATACTGGGCATTTATTGTCTACAACAACAACAACTACTTATACTCATATTTAATAGCTTCATTTTTTTCAATACACATATATCAGAGTTTCAATATACCAGTGTCAATGTTAAAGTGATATCGTTCATATTGATATCAAAGTGAAGTCGATATATCAAATATTATTGATACGTCAAAGGACCTTACAATGCACTCTACGCTAAGTACCTCCTCAAACAATGAAAAAGACATATAATGGACAATATATGCCACTGCTACTGTGCATCCAAATTTGAGAGTGCTCCACTGCAAGGATAATACAGCTTTGTGCACATTTTGACGAAAAATTACATTAAGTGGTGTTGCCCTACATACAGGCTCTCGTGAGTGAGCAGCACACTACCTACAGTTCCTGAAAGAAGCACGCTCTGAGCCTCTTGGCTCATCAGGCCCGTGTTTATCTCCACTTTTCTTGGCATGAAACGATTGAGATTATATGCATATTCCTCCCGAATGGGATGTCGGTCCATCACAAGTAGGCTCCCTAACTAATGCCGGTACCAATTACACTCCTGGGTGGAGAGAGGCAAGCAGACCCAAAGCCACAACTTATGGCCAGCAGCTAGACTGAGTCCCCAGACCCCATGGCCAGGAGTCATAAACCTTAACCACTTGGCCATCCGCACCCACAAAGTTCCCAAACAGCCCAAAGTTTAGGATAAACTTTCTATGCCTACCTTGCATCTCATCCTCCCGAATCCCTCCCTCCTTTGCCGGTTTCACCGGCTCACCGTCCTGCTCCTGCGACTCAGGGCTGTCAGCGAAGAAGCCGCCCTCCCCTTCCACCTCGTCCGTCGGGGAGTCCACGTTGCGGTAGTTGGGCCTCTTCCTTGGCTGTGGGGTGCCACCCCGCTCCCTGTTGCTCTCCAGTGAGCGTTCCAGGCTCTCCTGGGGCTTCACAAAGCCCCGGTACTGCACCTGCATTGCCAGCGAGAGGTGGAAAAACTCATTAATAGCTGATTTAGTCAACAGGGACCCACATCTTGGTCACGAGGCAAACAAGACCAATGTTGCACACTGAAGAATGGAATGTGGTGTTCGCGGTGGGTTGTCAATTTTGTAATGATTTTCGCTGGTTTGGGACAAAAACCATCAAGGCATTGGGTTACGGACTAAAGCTCGGGGCAAAAGGTACGCACCAGAGTACATGTATACACAACGCACAGGCCCGACCATCGTGAATGGGCACATGCACCGTATACAGTAGACCAGATTCGCCTAACGCCTTGGTCCACTCTACCTGTATATATCAACACGAAGGGCTTGGCTTGTGCTTTGTAAAATGCAAACTAAAACAAAATGACTGATAGAAGGGCTCATGACTCATTTTCATAGAGCGGGTCACATACAGCAATATCTTAAACTGCCTTCTTGTAATTGAATCCTGATCTCCTTCTAAGTCCCACTTCGGCAAGCTGAGAAGCATAAAATATTGCTTAGAATAGTTATTCGGTGAGTAGAAATGAGAACAGAACTAGACACAGGAATGGCATGATAATGTGCTGTCAAACTTGGGCCAAAGGAACAGTTTTTCAGTGAAGTAAAAGAAGTCTTTCCTCCGTAAATTAAAAAAAAAAGTACCAGCCAAAGTGTTGTGTGACACATGCTGCACATGACTGAGTTACGGAAGGTTTGCAGTGACACCATGGAAGCTAATCTCTTTTTGTGATTGGTGTTGTTTATGTTGAACAACTAGTTATTCTCAGAACGCACAATTTAAACAAGAGATGAACCCTCCTTTTTGAAGTTCTTATTCAGAATCGCACCCGTTCAATGCCGCTGATGTCGGTGGGTTGCTGGGCCAGGAACGCTTCGTTGCCATGGAAGATGATTCCAGCCAGGTTGGAGACAAGCGGAGGATGATCCAGAATGAGAAACACCTGCTTGGTGAATCCAGGATAAATAAGAAGAGAAAAGACGGGCCAAAAAGTCCATGAGACAACAGACAAGCAAGTCGAGACAGCTATGGTGTGAAGCAAGGAGTAAATTGGATCACTTGCTGGGTTTAATTGCAAACAGGGGAAAATGTAATACTCAACTCTAAATTCCAAAATATATCAACTGTCTAATATTTCTCTTCAATGGAAATTTAAACTCCATTTGAAGGAAATGTATTTCATATCTTTTTTTTTCAATGGTTGAAACCATCACTGGTCAGCGCTGTAGTTGATTACTTTTCTATGAGTACTTTTCATTGAGTATGAGTACAAGTACTTTGGTAAGAGTACAAGACAGTAGAGTATGGGAAAATTTTTTCTTGAGAGTATGAGTACATTTTCATGAGTGTGAGTACAGAAAAAAGTTTTTGATTACAAATACTATAAAGCTGACTCGTAACCATGCTGCTTTCTGATTCATACTACTTTTTATATGTTAACATCACTGTAGTTAAATACTTGTAAGGAATGTCTTTTTTGATAAGTGCACAAGTGTACTTCCAGCCTTGTGGCTTTAGAACCCTGCGCAATGTAAAAAATTGTACAGTGAGATGACCTGAGAGGTCAACTATCAAAAGACAAAAACTGCATCAGATTCCTGGAGTTTTCACTACCAAAGATTCCCAAAGCAATTTAATAGATCAACTGGATTAGCTTGAGTCTCATCGTCGACAGTTGTGCTGATTATAAAACTGGGTTCTCACAGAAATCTGAAAGCCAAATTCCAGGGCATTTCAGAAGGAATTTCAAGGATTGAAATGACAGTTTCCATGACATTTAATGTCATGTAGACTGACAAAAGGATATAACCTGTAAATTTATCATTTTCCGTTATCACATCAAAGCTGGTCCATCAAGAATGACCCTTGCCTGATTTCAATCTTTGTTTTCCTCTGATGGCAGGATTCAAGGACACCTAATTTTCTATGACTTTCCAGGACAATCTTTTTTCCAGGATTTCCCAGGATTGTGGGAACCCTGGTGGCCCATAGATAGGCATGTCACTTTAATCTTGCTGCATTGAGCAGAATCAGGTTTAATAACATGGAACAGGGTTCTCAGCATTTCATGGGAACAAAATTCCCCGATTTTTTCCTTATGGAAGTTATACATTCCAGCATCATCATTTTGGCTCTATAGTCTGATTGATAGCGTACACTACAGGTGTTCGTTTTACAGGTTATAAGGCTATACCGCTAGGTACACCACAGCTACATTGATACAGAGAGAAAGACGCATTAACTACAAGTACACTAAGCTATACAACAAAGCCATCATAGCCATGCAATCATCCACAGGATTCGCTGTTTGGAATAGACACAAGGCAAGAAAGTCTGTCCACTGGAAAATCAAAATTCCCTGATTTTTCCCCGATTCGAGGGACTTCTGACAAAGTCCCTGACTGGAAAAAGGAGAAAGTCATTTTCCGGGTTTTTCCTGATTTCCAGATTAGCTAGGAACCCTGTGGGAGCAGAGTTCTGGTAGGACCTACCTGAGAGAGCAGAAAAAGGGACACCACAGCACTGATGTGGGGAGGATCCTCCTATTGAAAAACAAAACAAAGCAAAATAAGAAACAGTTACATCAGGGTTCATAACGAGAGTTGGCTGTTACTTGAAATGAAACAAGGCACAGTAAGTGGGATTTCTCATACATGTAGGACTTTTGCATTGAATTGAACGTGACTGAACTGTGTTTGGTCCAGACACGGAGTTACACATGGCTGCCAGCAAAGATTAAAACTATTAAAGTCGAGAAATTTAACCATGACAAGATCTAGAACAAGGACCACGTGAGAAATTGATCTCAAGAACTCAATTACTGGAAAAATACTTTTGGACCAAACAGCATAATCTCACCATGATTAGGACAGGAACAGATACAAGAGCTAACTCAGTAAAGAAAAATCTAATTTAGACCAATGATCTGATCAAGATTTCAAGCAAAATGAATTCAAGATCAAGAATCATTATTAGACCAGTTTCACAAAAAACACCAAACCTAGCCAAGATTAAGACTTGCAGAAGAAGCAGGAAATCTGCTCCAAAACCAAGTTCCAACAGAGGAACTGGGGTCTGAAAGGTAACTACAGGAACCTCAACTAGAATCATGATGCAGCCGCAGAACAGATGCCACTTACAGCCAAGCCGAAGGACCGTTCCCTGGTCAGAGAGTCGACGTACAGCGGTATGAGAAGCCGATTCAGGAGATGGTCCGTCAAGACATCATTCAGTGACTCTATCCGCAGGTTCAAGATGTCATTGACGTAGTGCAGGTGGTCCAGATGCTCAGCTACCAGGGCTGCCAGGCGGTTACGACTCTGGTGACTGAAAAAAAATGGAGAAAAGAGTTAATACTTATCCATCAAAATCCAACACCTGATTCAGCAGAAGTTGAAGGATTTAGACTGAGCAATGCAGTTCCTATAATTTTTACTTCAGTCATTCTGTTCTGGTTTGTCTGAATTTAGTTGTACTTGCCCGTTGGTCTTGTGAGTCATTCTGTACTTAAGTCCTTCATAATATTTGTTCAAATTCTGAATAGGTATGTCCCTATAAGCTTTTACCTTTTTCAAGTAATGCCCTCATCTTTAAACAGTAACGGAACCACAGGTATCTTTCTCCAGAGTATTTGTTGGAAAAAAATCACTTAATCGACACTGAAATACTTGACTTCCTACTCAGCCCTAACAGTTTTGGATCCCTGAATTTCATTCTATCAATTCAATTTTAATCAGTCTATCACTTTAAATCAGTAAAATCAAATCAAACATGGAGCCCTAAAGTGACAGTTAAAAACAACTTTAAAATAAAATAACAAACGCAAGCCTTAACAAAACTATGATTCAGTGGAACATGATACATGTACTTCACATGATTTGAAGAGAGTCAAGAATCATACGTGCAGTCTCTATGAAATTCTGGATTAAATTCTCAGAACTGTCAGACTACGGAGTGTGACATGTATTTTGAAACATCAGAGACCGGGGCTTCATTAAAGCCTGTCACAAAAAGGCTTCATCCGAATCCAGCGTTTTGGTGACAATGAGGATGTCCTTACTCAATGTCATTCCTCACACAGCTGTCCAGCTCTAGGACGTGGTTGCCGATAAACCAAACCAGGTTGGAGAAATATGGGACTGCGGTCTTGTTTCGAATGTAGGTTAACATTGCATTGTCGTTCACTGAAAAAGAAAAAAAGGAAGCACCTTATGGACAATTTCACCTTAAATTTCTTCATATATGATACTGCTCTGCAGTTGAACAAGAGAAAGTTTGCCTTAAACAAGGAAATAACTATTTGCTTGGCCAGTCTGAAACACACATTTATTCCCATCCACAAAGACCTTTTGATTCCCAAAGTTACAAACAGTTTAAACATTGCAAATTTCAAACGATTTTGTTCCACACTTTTACTTCATTATTCCAAACCCCCCTCTAGTCACATCCCAGTAGTGGTATGGCCCTGCTGTCAGTGGTCATATTCAAATCTCCTAACATGGAGAAAGCTGCAAACACAGTGTGTCTGCATGAGGTAGTGCAGAATTTGAAGAGCCAGCTGGTGTTTCATCACTCATTTAAGATCGGCCATGTGATGCGCTCTTGACCAATAAGAGAATGACTAAATTGTCTTAGGTATTTATGAATATTAAAGAGCTACATGTACGTCCCATTTGACTGGCACACTGCAAGCATCAGCATGTTCCTACTTAGCCAGAGGACAGAACAGACAAGGGGCAAAGGTTGTTTCCATGTCAACAGTGGTAAGCGCCCGTTCTTTCAAATCTATAGGTGAGTGTTACACTGTACAAATAATGGGAAATACAATGCCCTCTATTTGGTGTTATCATAAAACATGACCGTGTTCAGGTAGGTGCATTTTGTGTATGGTGCCGAGCATGCAAAACCGTTTTTTGCTGTAATGTAGAGTTTGTGCATGGGGATTTGTGCGTCCAGTGTAAATGGTTGGCCCGAGGTCTCTCTTCTTTATCAGCGAGGGGGGTCTTGTGCACTGAACCTGAATGCATTGCAGTGTCTTGTTTACAACATCTATTGGCTCTCCACATGAATCAAAAAGAACATTTTGTAGTCTGGCGAAAAAATTGAGCAAGTGTAAGGCATCACCACTGTAAGAGAAACACCGTCTCTTGCGGGTTTCTATTTCTCGGTTTCTTTTCTCCTGTTTTGGTCTCCAGGCTTCAACTTGACAGATTTTATCCTGTTAGAGGAGAGCCCTGAACTCAACAAAGATCAGTGTTGTAGTTGAGACCATCACAAGACCAGACACAAGACCATGCACAAGACCGGTCACAAGTAACAGGGTGAACAATGACACAGGAATGCTCTTGTTGCAGTTCATTTGAATAGCTTGTGGCTTGAATTCAGACTGGAGGTCTTGTGTTGGTCTTGTGCTGGTCTTGTGTGGTCTTGTGAAGGTCTCAAGTGGTCTCGACTACAACAGTGTCAAAGCTGTCTATTTTTTTGCTGTCCAATATGATATCAAGTTTTTTAAATATTCATTTAAAGTTGAACATGCAGCTTGAGAAAAAAGCCATTGACCAAGGCACACCAGGATTGTAAGAAATCCTTTTCCTCTTGCAAGTATAAAGTCTCCTGGCATTTCCTACTATCCCAACCCAGTTATTTCCACAAGTATTTTACCTTTATACACATTGAGGGTGAGCGTCCTGACGGCGATTCGCACCATGCTCTCCGGATGGTTGAAGAACTTGATGGCCTCGGTGTACAGGGCAAAGTCATTGGTGTGCTGCAACAGGCAAAGAGACGAGATACAACTGAACACCTGGAAAATTCAGGAATGGTATCCTCAGGACTAGACAAAGGGGTTTCATATTCCCCTGTGAGGGAACTCCAAATGGGAGTGGTGTACTCTTATGTAAAAGCCCAAAGTGAAAGTTACCTCAACCTTCACCTGGGATCAAGATTAACCTTAAAATCATATTAAAATTGAAGGATTTGGGACTATTTCAATCGTTACATTATTTTATACAGCATGGGGGCCTGTTTGTTTCACATGGATCTGGATCGCGATAAGTGATCCCAACGCTGGTTGGCTCCATCCATTGGGTTGGCTCTGGTGTTAGTAAACCAACAATAAATTAATACTGATAGAGATTCGGATCCGTGCAGAACAGACAGGCCCTTTGTTAACCAGGCTGGGTTTAGGCCCGCAAGCATTATTCTGTGACTTGATTAATGAAACAATGAGACAATTACTCAATTATGTGTTTTATACCCAATAAACCCTAACCACATACTGATCCAAACAATATCTGACACTGGGCTCTTTCGATGGGATTTTGTCAGTCAAAGTGAGCGGTGATCAAAAGCCTCCAGTTCCAGCTGTTGGATTCTGGAGGGCTCAGAAGATAACATTGGATTCAGCAGGGTGCACTGCTTTCTGAAATGAAAGGCTTCTTTTTCGCAGACCCTGGAGAAAGGTCAAACACTTTTCAAACCAAAAGCTTGAAACACTCCATTCGTGAAACTCTTTCATTAAAATGTGGCAAGAAAATAAAGACCTACTCAAAAATCCAAGGAGATGACATGAATAGAAAGTTCCATTATTTACAATTATTTCCCTTCAAACATCTCAAGATTACACCTTAAATATTAACACAGGGACCAAAACATTAGTCATCAATTATTCACAAGCATGATCGAAAATGGAACGATTAATCTACTGAAGAAATACACTTATGAGACGAGCTAGGATTACCACTTGGTGGGATATCATTCCTCGTGTTAACCCTAACTATTCTCAATCTTTCAAAATCCTCTAGGCAGTTTTAGAAGATTTTGGAGCATTGAGGCTGCACGGCCAACTTTCATTGCTGATTGCAAAGGATGCATTGTCTCAGGGTTGTGGGTTAGACCTTGTGTTGTTTATATTCAGCCATGCATAATTCATGCCCACATTATACGTGAAATCCTCCGTACTGCTCCACAGTACCATTCACACTGCCTCAACATAATGAGAGGAACTGCCAGAGGCTTTTGAAGGACTGAGACAATGGGCACCCCTCCACAGAACATATTCAAAAAATATCAGAGGATTTTGGAGGATTGAGGCTGTGTCCAATTTTTTCATGGGGTAGTTGGAGGATTTTAAGGGACTGAGGGTGTATCTTAGCCAACAGGATCCTGGCGGTTAAGGTTAAATAGTGAGCGTACAGTGATCTGGTACACTGTGAATACTGATAGATTTGCACATTATGAAACAAGACAGATGAAACAATGGGGATGGACCTCACCTCATTGTAAAAGAAGTGAATAGTGTGCACATTCAACTTGAAAGACAGAGTCTTCAAGAACGAGATGTAATACGCCAAAACCTGAAACGGGTATAAAAGAGAAAACATCTCTCAACTTTCATGAAAAGTATGTACATGTAGGATTTCTTCTGCAAAAGGTCTGGAGTGCAGCAAAAGGGATAATATGTACCGGTAAATGGCCTTTCAAGAGAACTAGGATTTCACCTTTTGACCTGTGCATATCTTTGTGGACTTTTAAATGAACTAGGTTGGGTAAGACACAATGGCTATTTTGATAATGCACATATCCTGTTTCATTTCCCGCTATCTTACATTATTTTTATTCTTATCACAAGTGACCATCTACTGACCTCTTCGTCGGAAAAGTCAAATCGATGCTCGATGATGGAGTTCACGTGATTGTTGGACAATAAATAATCTGCCAGATATTAAACAAAATTCACTAAGCTGTCAAATCCACATTGGAATTAATGTCCCTGAGGATGCACCCAGAGGTTCATCTAGTCACCAATTCACCTGTCCTCAAGATGGGCAAAGACAAATTTGGACAGACAGGTTTTGCTTGTAAAAATGTGCAAGTCCCTATTTCTTACACAAATCTTTAATTTTGGTCAACAGATCTTCACATTTCTTGTAAAAATACTAGGTGCAGTGCAAATAAAGGGGTGTTGATTTTTAAAAATTTTCCTGGAAAAAGAAAGGAAGTTTTTAAGCTTAACTGGGAAGGGATACGCAGCCATTTCAATCCTAGATGAAACCATGGATGCATTACGGATGCAGAATTTTTAAAATATACATTAACAAATTTCTAGGACAGTGAAGAAAGAACTTATTTAAAGTGTGACATGAAATCATTTGTTCCTGGTATATTCTTTCAGCAAGTAGGTGACCACTTCAAATCTCATCATCGATTTAGCTGAGGACAAATAAGGGCACTTGCATTCTACAATGCGGGCAAACAACTTTTGCCTTAGGCATGCATCTGTATCGAGAACCTTCATCCCTGGTCGATTATACGTACAGTAAATTTCGACTAAGTCGGCATCACCTAAGTCAGCCGTTTGACAAAAGTCCCGATCGTCTGTAATGCATTTCCGTTGAAAATTTCATTTCTAAGTTGGCATTTATAAGTCATCATTTCGTATTTGTCGGCATGTTTTTTTCACACTTTTCCACAAAACCACAAAAATTCCTTTGTGTGAGTTGGCATTAAAATAAATCGTGCTTCGGTATCGGTTTCCTTCGCCGCGGTTGCCAAGAAGTGTCAAGTGACAAGTACCATGCACGCAGCCAGCAAGAGTACATCAATACCAGTAACCCCTCTAGTGTTGCACGCATTCGCTCTGTCCATTTTGGGGGTCGCCTTATTGAACGTAGTCTGGTTCCCTGCCCAAAGATTCCCGGAAGACCCTTGATAATGATTCGTCGGGTAGTCAGAATCATCAGGTCTGGTATCCAGACTATATTGAATGAACTTAGCCAATGTGCGTGTGTGGATGAGTTTATGTTTTCTGTACCTTAACTGTATCACATACATGTACATGTACGTACTGCACTGTCAAGTCGTGATGTGATATGCAATTGGCTTGTGCTTCGTCCTTAGGGGCACATAATCAATTACTGAATTTGCAGGATAATAAACGAGAATGAATTTGCTGGGATTGACCATAGGCGATACATGCGTACTTGTAAGTCAGCAAAATGACGACTTACAACACAAATCAGCATTCGCGTAAGTCGTCATAATTTCTTGAGTCCCGAGAGTGCCGACTTAGATGGAGTTTACTGTATTTGGTACCCAGGACGTATTTTGTTGATAGGTTAAAAGGCAGATTCAGCCAGTGATTGACAAATGGCGGGTTGCTGATCAAACTTGGCCTGTGGTGAGTGTACTTCATGTAGGAACAGCAGATGCAGCCCGCCTGCCATTCATTCGTGAGAATGGCTCTGGGAGCACGCAGAACAACTGCCAACCAATATTGGGGTCCAGGACAAATGTTCTCCCGCACAAGCCTAAATTTTCATGTCGCAAACTCACACAGTGAAGTCTCGTTCCGGATGTTCTCAAACAAGATATTGAGTGTCTGGAGGAGCTGCACGCAGATGTAACGACCTGTCTTCTGGCGCAGGATCTTCAGGAAGAACAGGAGCATGTTCTTCTCAAGGAAAAAACTGGAAGGCAACCACAAGCAACAAATCAAGACGTGCTCCACTCCAACTCTACTTCCTCTCAAAATCTCAACTCGCCCACTCTCTGAATACGAGATATACATTGTATTCTAAAATTTATTAGACCCAACACAAGATCAAAAGTGAGGAGCCGGAACATTAAAACATTTTGTATACTCCATATGAGTTTACGCTTTATTGAAGATGAACACAGCACTTAAAATTGGGCCCACAAGTTTTCAATTAATATGGTATGACTTTGACTGTACAAACGGCTGGTGGTCTTTTTCATGCAAGGTTTGATCAAAAATAATAAAGAAAGCGGTCTGTCTTGCTTTTTTGTCACTTGTACATTTAAAATACACTGTACATCCTTTCTTTGTGATTTATCCCACATTTTCGGCTTGAAACTGTTTGGTGTGATAAGTTGAAGACATTTTGGAATATTCTGTTTCACCATCCACAGGGGAATCTTTCTTTTCACAGAGTGGTTTTGATTAATCAAAGAATAAAGTGTAACTGAATAATCAATACACAGATTGAGTTTGACTGAATAACACATGTACATGTACCCATATGCCTTCAGATGCAAAAGAAAAAAGTACTCACTCAAAGACAGAGCTATCATTCTGATCGCCCCAGATAAGAATCTCTGACATGGAGCGGACGGTCTCAACAAGAAGCCCTCGGTTCTGCTCTGTTACCACAGAGTTCCTTATCAACACCTGATACAGGTAACTGGCAAAACAGGAAATGAAACAACACAGCCAGATATGAATACAATATCCAACAAACTGAATGCACTGTACACATACATGTACATGTATACAAAGGACCCTTACTCCCAATACTTCTCTAAAAAAGTATTAAAAATACTATGTCAAAAGAGGCCTTCCATTCTTTTGAAAAAACGGAAAGCCTCTTTTGACATACATGCAGTATTAAAAGCACTTACATGTAATGGGTTTGTTGATGCAGTTTGAGTAAAACTACTTTTATTCGCCACTACAAGCCTCTTGTAAATCACTCCCTGTTTAAATTGTTTGATTCCATTTACATTGAAGTAATAGTTCGGCATAATATACTTTCTATGTTTTCGCTCTGTCAAATAAATTACTCAAAAGCAGTGATGGCCTAAATGTTTATGTATGTACAAGCGAAGTAAAGCTACTGATTTCAGTTCTAATAACAACACTTTGGTTCCATTTCTACTGAAAGGGTTGAAAAAAAACAGTGCCAAGATCCACACCATGGCAAAGAAAATATAAGGAGAGCCTCAACAGTGATCAGGAGCTAACTATGATGATTTCTCAGTTTTCCAGGTGATTTTATCGGGTTAATTTTTTGAATAATACAGTTATTTTACACGATACAGGATTTTTTACATATTTTGAAAAAACTCTGTGAAAAAGATATGAATTTGCACATGTAAACTGCAATTCAACAAAGCTGATTGACAAATGAATGTATCAACAGCAAGCTGACATCAGCACGTACACTGTACATGTACATTTTGGGATGAGTTCCATATAAAGACACCTGTAATTATTCCCTACCCTGACCTACTGTATTAGCCTTCAGAAAGCAAAAAAAAAAAAAACAGAAAAGTTCACTTTGGGAGGCAAGAAACCAAGTCATAGACAACACTTTAAATTTTTCAGACCAGTTTCATAGGGTTTGTGCATGAGATGTCAAGTGGCATCCGTATACGGAACTCTTTCCCATATTTCATGCACAGACGTAGGCGTATTGTACAAGGTGGTTTCCCTGAATATTTGTACATGTGCAGTTGTTTTTGCCGCTTTGTCGTTTAATGTTTATGGATGTAAACATTTCCATCAACTTCTTATTGTGTCACAGGTGTGAATTACACTTCACACACATAGAATGTACACTGATTGGCAAAACAAAAAAGCCTTGCCTGATCCTGATTCTAATTTCAACGGATTTTCCATAACCTTTCTTCCACTGACTGATGGATATGAGCCTTTTTCATGTTTCATGTGTGCATGCCCAGAAGATCTTAACAGACGGGAACAAATTCGTAACAATGTTGCGTAACGTTTGGCGAATGGATGCCTGCGATTGTTATTGTTGCAATGTCGTAGACAATTTGTTCCCCTCTAGCTTTGTTCCCCTCTAGCTTTGTTCACTTACCCGCATGGGGGTGCTAAAATTAACATGGCAACGGAAAGGGAAACTGGCTTATTCCAGGACACCCTATTTTTTCCGATATAGTAGTAATAGTAGACCTAGGCCACGACTTTCCAGGACAAATTTTTCAACCATTTGCCATTTAGGCCTATTGTGGGAATGGAACCCTCAACAAACAGGCCTAAAATTCAAGACAAGATCAGAAGATATTGCAACATACAAGGTTAACATACAACTTAAATAATACTACATGTAAGTCTACCTTTACATGTACATGTACAGTAGTTGTACATGTACATGTAGGCCTACATGATGTAGGCCTACATGTGGGGTCCGACGTCCGCCCCACTCCCACGAACAGCGGCCGGATGGACGTCACACTCAGTTCTGGGGGTAAATTTTGTACACATTTATTGTGCTCCATCCAGAGTTGATCTGCCTTTGAATGAAATCCATTTATTGGATCAACTTAGCCCCACTAGGCACTACACTAGCATGACTAGTGAGTAGTGTGGCACGTCGGACTCTCGCTACGCTCCATCGGTAGCGAGAGTCCGTGCCACACTAGTGGGGCTAGGATCAACTCAGGTGGGATATTCTGCAATTATGCCATGTCAAGATTGTGCAGATTTTCCAGAAAATCCCACCTCTGTTTATGTGCTGACCAACCACAACAATTTGTCCGGAATCTGGACGATATGAATTCATAAGGAAACTTACCGAAGGTGTTCCAAAGAGTGAACATTCTTGGGTTTTCCCTGGCCGGAGCCCAACCAGTTCTTCGTCTTGGACAACATGGGTGGTCCACTTTTGCTTAAAGTCAGTCTACATTAGAAAAAAATGATTAAATCCCCTCAAAATAGCCATGAACTATCAGATCATGAGGGAAGCAGCGATATCGCTATTACAACCGGAGGAAGGGTACTCATGATAATTCATTCAACGCATATATTATGGTGTTCTATATCTGCCACACAGCTCATCTTGCGATCATCTCGCATCACGCACGAGGCGATGATATAATAGTTTTAATAGCTTTATATCTTTTTTGACAATTTTTATAATTGTTTGTTATAAGATCATGTGCAATTTAATCTTCTAATTTGCTGCCATGATGACTTTAATAAAAACCGTAATGATAATAAGAATATTTCACATTAATGTAATAGTAAGAATAATTTAACTCAGTGACAGACATATTCTGTTCAACTCAGTCGGCTCATGGAGCTATGAAGACATGTGAGAAAAAAATCACTGAATTTTTGGTCGAAATTATGTCAATAATTTTACTAGCTTGATATCTTTTTGACAATTTTTATAATTATTTTAGTTTTATCGTGACGCTTTTCACATGTAACAAGAATAGTAATATCGCATAAATTATCATAATTGCGTTCCTCCGGTTGTGATCAAACTTGCTGTGCTGCGCGAAGTCGTACGATATTCAATTAATGACGTCATAGCTTTGACCTACTTTTAGGTAATACAAAGCACTTCCGGGTTAAAGCATGCAAAACTGCGTGCGTTTAGGCAGTGCGCACGATACTTCTTACGTCGATTGCAGTTCTCCGAAGCTAGCTGTCAATTGCGATCGCTCAAAGCTTAGTGCCGTTGAACTTGAAGTGAAAGGAGTTCTATATAAACACGATATCCTAGCAGGTAAGTACCTGTACATGAAAGCCACAGTTTTTTCTTTGGAAAATTTCCCTCAAAATGATTTCCCAGCCGTCAGAGAAAGTGATAACATGTCTTAAAAAGTTAAATTTAGCTAAGAAAATTCTGAAGCATTTTAGGCCTACTTAGATAACACCAGTTTAAACTTTAACCATTTCTCTATGGTTTAACGGTAGGCGTAGTGTTTATTTCTGTATCTAGGGCCTATATCAGTACGTTGCAGACACCAATTCTGGCTTTAGTGCAACGGAGACGGGGTAGGGATGTTGTTACGTACCCGTACCGGCCGTGGTAGAGTGAGGCCTATGACTAAGAACTAAAGGAAGTTTTTAAACTCTCAACCGAGTCCGCTTGAACAAAGATGTCGTCCAGGCAGTTCAAATCAATAATTGATCTGTTGAAGCATAGCGCAAGGACCAGAAGAAAGAGTTTTTAATTTGTTGTTTTCTTTCAGACAAGTCTCATACTAGGTTTGTGCACTGGCAGGACTGGGGCGTCAAATGATGTCCGTATGAGCAACTGTTCTAATTAAAGCTGAACTCGTTGCGCGATGGGTTCGTCGGTCGTCCGCCGGCCGGGCCATATGGCCGGGATCCCGCGCGCGGTGGACGACGAACCACGATGTATGCGTAATTGACTTGATCCTGGTTTGACTTGGCTACAGGGAATTATTCATCATCGATTGATTGTGCGGGAAAATTTTGTGCATAGTTTAAATGTGCACAGCCATAGTGTTATAAGCAAGCATCAGTTCTTGGCCAGCAAGCATTAAATTATGGGTTCACAATTTGAACAGAAAACCCTATGCACTGAACTGTGGCATCCCTGGATGACATCTCAACAGTCATGACAGCAGTACCCTCAATTAATTTTGTCCAGGAAAGTTTGGATACTAAATTTAAATGTTTTTTAAAAGTTCAATAACCAAATGAGGACTGTCAAAGAGTTTTCATACAAAGAAGAAGAATCCAAATAAGTTCCAGAAAATTGTTTTTAAGAAGAATCCATTGCAGTTGCATTTATTCATATCTGAAATAATTCACATTGATCAAGAAATCTTGAAATTGGCCCAGACATGGCAGAAGGATTGTGCAAATGCTTTTGGTGTGCAGTTGCACATTCATCAATGTCATAACATGGAGAAAGAGCTCAGACATGTACAGACTGAAGTCTGGCCATGCATGCTGGTGATGAGAGAAATGGCATTGTGGAGGTCAGGACCTCAGGATTGCAATAAATCCCCCAAATATCTGGTTACTGGCTTAAATCTGTCATCTGATCATGGCTCTCCAGGTGGTCCAGGTACTCTTTAAACCCACAACTCTGTGTTTCTCAGACCAAGCAGTGTAATTTTTCAATTAAGTTTCCATGATAGCCCACAATTTAACCTGATTTTCAATTGTTCATTTTGCCATTTAAATGTTATTTTAGTTTCTTGGGACATTATGCTAATTAAATCACTCACTTACTATTCATCCGTTCATGTCAGAAACTATGTTACCGGTACCACACATCAGCACCAATATGTCAAGTACATATACCAGCATATTGGATATTTTGCTATGTAAATTGTTTGAGTGATTTGTTGCACCTTTAGGCTTGTGAGTTTAAGGTTTCTCACAGATATATATGTTCAGTGTGAAATTTTGGCACACTGTTTGAAAGGGTGACCCCTAACATAAATAGCATCTTCCTAGGATGATCTTGCACCAACAGTGCCCTGGGGATGAAGAAGTGTACTTTTGAGTACTGAGATTAAACAAGGAAGATGTCACAATTATAGTATTTTTTATGCACCAAACATCTTCCCCAATTGAAATATAGTTCAAGGGCTCTTGAAGCAGGAGTTCTCTTACCACATGTACCAGTATTTATTTAAATGCTCAGCATGTATATATGTCTTGGCAGCAAAAATAAGACATTGAAACAAAACTGAGCACCAGAATACAAACATACACTGTAGTAGTTAAATTATTAAATTCAAAAACTTCTTTAATAGAGCAACAACTCAAAGAGGAGAGAGCCTTTCTAGCCAAACTTGAGGTCATTGGTAGATCCATTGGGCTAGTGGAGCCCCTCCCCCAGGTTTGTGTGTGTGTGTGGGTTTTGAATCAAAATTAAGAGAATGGCTTTCTTGGAGTATTCGTTTCCCTTCCATCCAAAAGTGTGCAAAAGTTCCACAATTGAGCCTCAGCTTTAGGAAGGCTATAAAAGTTTACTTTTTAAACATGTTCAATTTCTGAACCCCCCCCCAAAAAAAGTTGGTTCTCTCCACCACCAAAAAGAGAGTGGATTTGTTCTGGCTCTTGAGAACTGTAAAGTGTGCAATAATCCAATGCACTGAAAGTCAGAAATGAACAACTGTCTACTAGTCTAGTTTCATTACCAGTTTGTGCTAAATTCCATATTCCATGGAGGGTAGCTGACCTGGTTCAATAGGATTACCATAAGCCCCGTTCTGCTGTCAACAGCTGTAGAGGGGCAAGGTGAACTGCCATCTCAATTTGTTGAGAGAAAACTATGGACAACTTTACTGAATCTTTAAACTATTCAATTAGTATCACTAAGTGATCATATTATGAATACATGTAAGCTGTAACATTAGCAATGGATCATTCTTATATGTACATGTATATTTATTTTAGGTCTTGTGCTTGCTACCCCCTGTTTGCATTACATACATGTACATTACATGTGTACATGTACATGACAGTTCACCTTGTCCCTCTGACAGCAGTCCACAGCAGAAGGGGGCTTATGATAATCCTGTTGTCAGTTACCCTCCATGGAATCATATGCAGTAGCACAAACTGATCATGAAACTAGACCACACAGTTGTTCATTTTTGACTTTCACAGAGTGCATTGGATTATTGCACACTTTACAGGTCAAGTGCCGGACAAATCCAGTCTCTTTTTGGTGGGTGAGAGACCCATTTTTTTGCCTTTTTTTGTGGGAGGGGGGTTTGTTCTGGAGACATTTTGTTTCGGGTAATGTACATGAAAACCCAGAAAACGTTTGTGACAAAATGGGATCCTGTAAGCAAGATGTATAGCTAATCAAGAGCCACTTAACTTATAACCAAAACCCTAACACTCCTCAGTCCTCCAACAGGTGAAGGATTGAGGAGGGTTAGGGTTAAGTATGAAGTGGAACAGGGCAGGATACTGCAACTGTAACCAAGTAGTCCATTTTACAAGGAAAATATTTTGAAGGAAACAGTACTACAGAAGAAGGTGAACTGGAGCAATGAATAGGATCTGGAAGTTTTATTTACATGTAGGTAATTAAAATCTACACCATTACATAGACAATATCAAAGTTAGAATTCACCAGAGTCTTGCACAGTAGAAAAAAAATAATGTTAAGTAGCAGGTTGATTGAGTGTGTAAAGAAATTAGTATATTGAAATTACATGTTACGGTACCTACTGTACATGTACATGTATACATGTATGTAACCACGTTTACTACAAGCATAAGTTAAACGACAGTCAACTGGCGGGTAATCTGTGTCCAGAAGAAATTCTACAATTCTATTTCATGACAGTCGAGTTTTAATTACTGAAGGACACAATATGAGAATTCGACATACATGTACATGTACAATGTATGTGCAATTCATCATCAAAATAACTACTGGTTTAAAGGTTATTCAAGTCCCAACATTATTGTACAGTGTAGTGTAGCAATTTTATTCTCAATTTCATTAAATAACTTGATATTGAGCAGCCAACCATATCCTGTTTTTGGCTTTTCAACCTTAAATACATGTAATTACTGTACATGCATGTTGAAAAGAGGCACATACATGTACCAACACTACAGTAGATCATGTCAAGACCAATGGCAGGTCAAGAAAGTGGATGAGGCAGAGTGGCTCTGCTCAAAAATTGTGCGATCATGAACAGGAAGTGACGATCAGAAGCAATTGGACATTTTGCAAGCTGTCTCCAAGTTACAAGCTAAACAAGCTAAGAAATTTCACTTGATTTCACAGGGATTTGCCAACAAAGCAGGATGATGCAACAAGTGTGAACAGTGTGTCACTGCATGTATGCCGCATAGCGTTTTGCTGCAGATATACCGGTGTTTGCATAAAAAGCTACCTCTAGAGTACACCATATTTAATTACAGTCATATGATAGAAGAGATTACACATGAAGAAAGTAAAAAGCATAAAGTGAGGGACCCGTTGACCGTAGAATAGGTCGACCAGCCATAACAAAGGAAGAATTTTATCTGGAAACTCTTGTGTTGACGTGGCACAATAGTACATACAAAATTATGAAAGCTTTGTGATGTTTATAAAGTGTTCCTGCACCTTCTTCAATGTTTGTAAGTTCAGCTTATCATAAACAGGTCATAATTATGTACATTGAGCTACATGTATGGTGCTCCACTCAAGTGGTGCTTGAAGCTGTTGGCGCTCTTGGGCTCATAATAATATGGACAATAATGTGTTGCATGCTGGATGAGTCCACTGCCCATATTTGATACTTGATATACAGTTGAATATATATAATAATACAAAGTTGTGTTTATAACAAGGAAAGTTTGGGTCCAAATTCATTGTTTTTCATGTGTTGTAACAAGGCACATGTACGTGCAAGTCCCAAGGACCTTTCTAATGATGAAAAAAATCCATCTGACGGAAGTGCGTACACAGAAAAACATTTCTCTTTTGGTTTTGGGGTTTTTTTTAATCTGCATGAAATGCATACTCAAAACAAGGTTTTTTTTTTTTTTTTTGATTACTATTCAGTGACTATTTCACACAAGAAAAACTTCAAAATCTGTATCCTAATATCCAGATAAATGTACGTGTACACACTGGTAGTTGAAAGGCTTTCTGAGATTGGTATTAGTTTTCTGTATTTTGCCCTTTTGGGCTCCACTTTCAGAGCATCATGGCATACGTGGTGGATTTCCGCAGTGACACGGTCACCAAGCCCTGTGCTGACATGAGGAAGGCCATGTTTGAAGCCGAAGTCGGCGATGACGTCTTTAATGATGACCCAACTGTGAAAAGTGAGCGCTTTTGTCCGTGCTAACTCTTTTTCTTTATCTCTGAAATAGCATGACTCAAGTCAGCCTGGAGCCTTCTGGTCTACAGAAGTATATCTTGAAGTTTCTGAACAGAAGATTGCTAAACATCTCATATTGTGCTTGCAAGTACATGTACATACATGCATGGCATTTTAGCTGATAACTTGGCTTAGTAAATGTGAACCACCTGGCCAAAATTGGGCTGAAGGTACATGTATGTGCGTAAGGTGTAAAGCCATCGTCTGGAGAAGGATACCAGTCATGCCAGTAGAAATACCGGTATAAACAATCCAAATTTCGCACTTTGTATTACTCACAACTATGGTTAGATGTACCACTTTTGCAGATAAGATTTACTTTTTGGATCAAAATGTACGGTACAAAAAGTACATGTAACAGTGGGGTTAGAGGGAGGCATGTCAAATGTCAAGCCATCATGTGGAGGACACTAGTAGAAACATGAACAATGCAAATTCACAACCTTTATCACTCATTCTACTGTACATGTACCAAAGCTATTTGCAGATAAGATGTGCACTTTGGATCACTTTTGGGAAATTTGGGTACGGTCTAAAAATTAACAGTACGGTTGAGAGGAGGCATTGTCAAATATTAAAAAATAATGTGTCAGCCTGGTTCTGGAATGGTTCATTGATGGGTCACATGTAGGAAAATCCTGATAACGAATTTCCAGTTGGCAATTGAAAACTATCAAGTGAACCTTTGAAAAGGCTCACATTGTAAATCAAGGAGTCAAGTGCTGCACCTTAGATGTATATGTATCTGTGTGCCTGCAGCTTTGAACTGTTAGAACTGGACACAGTTTCAAACTGTTTTATTATTTGTCAAAATTCACTTGGAACATTTCCAAATGTACATGTACATGTACCTTTCTTGATTAACCACAGATAACACACATACATTTATGGGAACTTTTATAGACAACGTGGCATTTTTTTTCCAAACTCTGGTTAGCCCTCAGATGCCAGTCTGACATGTTTTAGTCTGAGCTACTCACTGACTGAAACTTTGATTTTGATGCAACCTGTGGTTCGAGAGCTATGCAAGGTCTACCCGGGTACCTTATTGCCAGTTCTCAAAGTCAGTTGTTATTATTATTTTGGGGGGGGGGGCAGCTTATGAAAAGGCCACTGTAGTTGGAAGGCCAGTTGCACTTGTGCTGGGTATTCATGGTAACTTTGATTCAAATACCGGTAGGCCATGTACCTGTCAAGGTCATCAGCTGGTTATTTGGTAAGATGCTTGTACATGTATAGTGTCCTGGGTCCAGCAGCTCTGTTCACTGAATGGATTACATGCATAATGTGCATGACCACTGTCCTGGGTACACCTTGTGTAAAAAACGAAAACATGTTAGTGTAATGAGAAAATAAGAAAAGTCACTTGGGAACAAAATTTAAAATCAAAATTTTAAAATTCACAGAATGTTCTGCGGCAAACCAAATAAAATTAAATAAGAGCGACTGGGGTCGACCCAATTAAATTTTGGCTCCAGACTGACAAACTTGAAACGTACATGGTTATTTACATTGGGCTCTGCCCATGAGAAGAGCGACGTGTGAAACCAAGTCGCTTGGATGTCATTCCAGGTGCCTCAAAGTGTCAATCTTTCTCCTGCTGGCATGCCTCTTTGCTCCTTATTGTTTCAGATGTCGTATTTTTGCCGTACTTAATCCCAAATTTGCTTTTAGTTAGGTTCTTCAGCACCACTCTAGAATGCCTGTCTGAAACGGGTGTTACATGTCCTATCTTCTATATTATGTACATAACATTTCTTTTGATTACCAGTATTTAGTTTTTCAATTTGCAGAACTCGAGGAAACTGTAGCCAAGATGCTGAATAAGGAAGCAGCATTGTTTGTACCATCAGGGACAATGTCCAATCTTGTTGCTGGTAAGAACTGGTAGGAAGCTACATACATGTACGTGTGTATCAGCAATGTATGGTAGATTTTCTAAAACTGTGTATGGCCATAAATCTTGAGGGGAGGGGGATGGAAGATATAACCCTCCCACTTTCTGGGGGGGATGGGCTGTTGATTCACCCTCCCCTCTTTTGTGGTGAGAAAAAACTAAAGTGAAATGTAAACCGGTATTATCGGCAAATATCAGCAACAAGTGTCACTGAATGAATTATGGGACTAGTACATGTATGTACCAGAACAAATCAGCAAAAGTTGTGCCCTGTACATTAAGTTAAGCTTTTGAGCCCTACTAATGAAGGTGATATATGTAAGCGTCCGTGCCATCACCTTTGGAAGATACATGTGCAGTGTACATGTATTCCTTATTAGGGTAATGAATGGGCAGTTATGCTAATGTGATCAATATGAATTGACAATTGCAGAACTCACTGTCATTACCATTTAGTGAAGTTGTATATTTTTCACAAAAATTTGAGATTGCTGTCATGTTTTACATTTTGTAATATTTAAAGCAATGGAAGTGGCTGTATGCACTCCTTACGCGCATGTTCTGAAACTTGATTTGTGCAAGTTTTTTGCAAGTTACAGTGCCCTATCAGTTGAAGAAGCTTCTAACATGCTGTGTAAATCCTATGTATTATAATTATTATTATTCAATTCTTGTATTAAATGACACCAATATTCTTGGTAAAACCCATGGAATCAGATACCGGTAGGGACTGAAAACCCAATCCACATGTAAACCAAGCCGGAATTCGAACCCAGACCGCAAAGGTGGAAGGCGAGGAAAGACCCATTACGCCAACCTGACTGCCGTGCTGTATGTACAGTACATGCAGCACCCCAGTTTAAATGGCATCTTATTCTGGCCACCAAATTAGCCTGTAATGCCATTGTTCTGGGAAAAAAAATCAATTTTCTTTTCTTCTTTTTTGTGTTTTGTTCCCCAGTGATGGCCCACTGTCAAGGCCGAGGGGAGGAAGTGTTGCTAGGTGATCAGTGCCACATAATGCTGTATGAGCAGGGAGGCATATCTCAAGTAAGACATGGTGCGAAACCGAGAAGATTTGGGATGAGGCTGCAGAAATTGTTGCAAGAACATGGTCTCAAAAAATCAAGAATTTTCACTTCCAAAGAGGAAGATCATGTTGAAAGTACAGTTCAACTTGTAAGAACCTGCATATCGGTATGGTTATTTATTCAATCAAATTACTCAGTGAGAGTTACATGTACCGATATTGAAAAGCAAAACTGGTTTGATGGAAGGTGTTCAAAAAAGGATTCAGACTCAAAAGTCACCCAGTGAATTACGATGTGTCAAAATTTGTTCTTAATTAATAAATTCTAAAAAATTGCTGTAGAGACCAGCAAAGATGCCCCATTCAAAATTCAGGTGTTGATGGAGAATTTAGATCAGCCATTGCAACTAATCCAGTTTGCAGGCGTCAACCCCAGGACTGTCGTCAACAAGCCAGATGGTACCTTCGATCTTCATGAGGCAAAATCCAAGATTCGTATGGACAACATCCACTTTCCCAGGACTCGCCTGATCTGCATTGAGAACACACACAACTTTGCTGGCGGAAGGGTGATACCCATGGCATTTATTCAAAAGGTACAGGCATCTGTTCATTCTTTTCAACCCCTGTGCACCTGCTCAGCCCTGATATTTCAAAAAATGGAAATTCACATATCCCACATTTTGAAAAAAGGTTTGTTCAGTAATCCCGATGATGATATCTGTAAAATGTTTTGAGTATTCCTAGAGGAAAACATTAAAACATTTTCATTTTATTTCTATTTTATTTTGTGACACTTGCCACTAGCTGATATAAATACAAGATTAAAAAACTGGAATCAAAAAAGTTTCTAAAAACAAAGGATCCCTATCAGGATAAAAAGGAATAAACCAGTGAGTGGCAACATGGAACAGGTGTCTAGCACCTCTACAGGGCCATCTCACCACTACGAAACAAGAGTTTGTTTTCAACTAATTATTCAGGAAAGGTAATTGTAAGAGATGACTAGATCAAAATGGAGATTTGTTTGAATTGTTGGAACTATTACTTGCATGTACATGTATCTCCTTGTTGCTGTTCCTCCTTACAGGTCAAAGAGCTTGCCGACAGTCACCACCTTCTGGTTCACTTGGACGGGGCCCGTTTGATGAATGCTGTCATCGCCACAGGGACGACCCCTGACGCCATCACCAAGTATTGTGACTCCGTCTCAATTTGTCTGTCCAAGGTTGGTTCTCTGAATGTAGTGACAGTTGGCACTTCACTTTACAGAATGCATTCAATCCTATTTTTGGACACAAGAAAAATCACATCTTGAAAACAGTACACATAGAAAGCTCTTTTCCAGAAACTGTGATTTATCTACGTAACCTTGTCTGCCTAACAGTTATAGCGACCAGAAACTTGAATTACCAGGAGTTACTTGCCAAGAATTAAACTGAATAGAGATCAAAGTCATATCAAATAAAACTTCCTTCATGCGTAATGTATTCAGGTGAAAAAGTATCAGCTACATGTACCTGAATGTCACTGATATTTTTGTTTTTTTCAGAGTGGGCTGGTTCTGCTCTTCCCAAGATATTGTTGTCCATTTTGTCAGTGTGTAATAATAATCTTTACAGGGACTAGGCGCTCCAGTTGGATCCTGTCTCGCCGGCAACAAGGAATTCATCAAAAGGTTTGCATAAACACTGAGGACGAGGACATTGGGGATTTCTGTGTTGTTTATGATCATAAAGATGGCAGCCAGCTTCAGTTGTTGCTTAGCAACAGCAACATATTCCAAAATTGCTGTCTGATGGCATATTGGGGGGGAGGGACAAACAGGTGACGCATCCACCTCCCCAAGCAAATGTTCATGATCCACAATTCGAAAACAGAATGAAGAGAAACTATTTAGTTAGCTGCATTTCAATTACATTCAATGCCCCCCCCCCAAAAAAAATGCACACCTCCAGGTGCTATCCCACATTTTTCACTCTAGTTACGGTACTGCTACTGACAATTAACATGTTATCTTGTGGATAGAAAAAAGGCTAAGAGAATTATAAAAAAAGCGTACTAAGTTTCATCAACATCTGTCACACGAAAAAGGGTAAATGCACTCCTTATCAGTGGACAGGCCACCTAAACATTACTTTGCTCCTCCATGATCAGTTGAAGTAATGAAGCAATGACGTTAACTTGAGTTCTTTAGTTTAGTTTACTGTTTTCATTCATTTGTAGAGCTCGCAGACACCGCAAGGCACTTGGTGGTGGCATGCGTCAGGCCGGCGTGCTTGCAGCTGCCGGGCTGGTGGCATTGGAGAAGGGAATTCCGAGGCTGAAAACAGACCATGAGAATGCCAAACGCCTAGCCCAAGGTATGAGCCGGTCAGCTGACATACCATATAAAATTAGAAACTTGATTTTTTTTCACTGTATTGAATGCAAAAGCCCCCATTGCCATTGTTGTATTTACACAATATAGCCATCTGATTAAGTTTTCTTTCTTGTCGGCCAGCAGTGTGAGCAACCACACACTGTTCTAATTTAGAAAAAATATTGGATAAGTCCCTATCTTTTATTATGGGCTATATATAGGAATCATTGACCTGAAGTGCTCCAGCGTGACCTGTGACCTGGCTGCCACAGAAACCAACATGGTGTACCTGTACATGGGGGAGGGAGTGTCAGTTATGTCATTTTACCGTCTGTGCGACACAGTCTTGGAGGGTGAAGAGGAAGAACTAGGGCAGGCTATTAAGGTGAGAAAATTTGTCTTGTGTGCTGTTCACTGCACTGATAAAAATCCCGAGAAACAGAGTGCATTTTCAGTGTTTAAAACGAAGATTACCTAATTTGTCTTGCTACAAAATCCAAAGATAAGAGGACATTCCTGGGTGGAAGAACAATGCACACAAAGGGTTAGTCTGCAGACGTGCAGTTTCCCACGGTGAAGACTAGTTTGTAAATTTACTTTGGAGTAATGTGCCTCTTTCAACAATAAAAAACTGTAGATTCTTCGGAAAAACCCAAAAACAGAGCAGCGAAGTTACTGAGGTCAAGGCACATGTATGATGCATGCGTGTACGCAACCACGTGACCGCCATGCATGATATGACCACATTGTGAGATCAAGTAACGCAGCGTCAGTGGAAGTCCAAACTCATCTGCAGTGGACAAATGTTGGACCAATCAGTCATTATAAATGCCGAAGAAATTGTCCTTTCACTGTGCACCTCAAAAAGGGCAGCCATGTTGGTCAAGCGTTCATGGCTGGCAGTTCGGACAATACCATTTCTCGTCATAAATAAAATTAACCTTGAGTTGATCCACATTTTCTTTTAGTTTGTCGCTTTCAGTTTTTTTCATCTAATGCATCTGAGAGTACAGTATATGTAGGCTATCTTTATTCATCCTACTCTCATGGGTGAGAAGGGTCCATATTTTAAAGAAATTTCTCTCTTACCGGTTCTGGGTAGGTGAGGATTTGTCCCATGAGCGATCGCTGTATACGAGCGGCCATTCACCATCACATCACAGCCGAGCACGTCGCCATGGCACTGAAGAAGATAGCCTTCGTGGACAAACTGTTCCAGAACGGAGAAGTGGCCAAGCATCTCCCCAAAGATTGATTACTGAGGTTACAGGTTGTTAACTGCATCTTGGAACTTCTACTGCATCCAGACTGCTGTTCAAATATGAAAGCTTTGTCAGGGCTGAGACAGTTCTTTAGTAGTCATATTACTTGACCAATACCTGAATATATTGGATAGTTTGATCGATCAAAACCATTCTGTGAAAATGCAGGTTTCCTTCAAGGTTCCTGAAGCCAAAAATACTCATTAACTTGTGCCCTCCCCCTATTTCTCCACATCTGAGGCTTAATCTGGTTTACTGAGACTGTACATTGAGCAGTAAGCACAATGAAAGCAAGCTCAACCATGTTAACGCCATAATAGAAAGAAAGGTGCTTAAATCAGTCACATAATACTGCTTTATCTTGTGGTGCAGTAAACCGTAGCCTCCCGGGGTGATTTATTCTATTTTCCAAAGTGAAGCCTTCTAATTTCATCACAAATAAAACATGGTTTTATCTTATTGCAAACGTGATTTTTAAGGACGTGCTAGAAACAGACATTTTGAACCACAAAATACAGAAATAAAACAGGATTTAAAAATGCTAAAAACTGAGCAAGAAAATTGTCAAAACATGTTCCTGTTTTCCTGAAAAAGGGAATAAAACATGTTTTATACCTGTTCTAAGAATACAGTGTACATACATGTCGTAAAAGATTAAATGTAATCTACCTTTTTAACACAGGTCGGTTGTGCGTGTCCATACGAATGTATTTAATGTTTTACTGTAGCATGTCCAGAATATAGTCTTCAAACCAAGTTGCATGGTTACTTTAATTTTGAACAACGATGGAGAGTTGAATCACTGAATTACTGTTATGCCATGTCTTTCTTTATCACTTTCTTAGAGAAAACTTGTAATTTAAGTTTGCCGTTTTCCTGCCAATGTTGCTAAAAAAAACACAATTAAGCAGTCAGTGTAATCCAGTCTTCTACAGTTCTTGCATGTTCACAAGGATGGGACTCTTCAAATGGTTCATGTGTAGATAGCTTTCTCCTTGCATTTCATTCTTCAAATTGTGCCCAAATGCACTGCTGTTATTGCAAAAATATGCACATACAGGTAAACCACTTGACTGCATGAATCCACAAAACACCTTGTTCGACAATAACACTGCTGTAACACTCCTGATCCGCATCTCATAATCTGTCGCACATTGTGTCCTACCTTGCAGTAGACTAAAAACAGCAAGTATTGATCACAGTGCACAACCATTTTCTACAATGCCCGAGGTCACTCAGAGATTACATGATGTGTGGTGAAGTCTGAGTAAAGTGAACCGTGCAGAAATAGCACCGTAAACAAGATGGCAGGCTAAATGGATAAGTTAGGCCCCCCCCAAAAAAAAAACCACAAATTGTAAGGAAACAGGGCAGCAGGCTTAAATAGTCCTGAGTCTGAAAAACAGTAAGAAAAAAGGGCAGGCGGGTTGAAAAGAATATGTACATCGTACAATTGTAGTAAGAAAACAGCAGCAGGGTTGAAGGGTTTTGAGTCAAAAAAAATGAAGAAAACAGAGTGACGTTAAAAGAAGAAACAAACAGGTTTCTCTGCAAAAAATGGGGGAAACAGGGTTTAACAGACCAGCATTTTGGCTGGAACACAGAGGTGGTAGCAAGTCAATTTTTGCAAGTCCAAGTCAAGTCAAAGTGTGCTAATCTAAGCCATGTTACAAGCCATTTGGTCAAGTTACAAGTCATGTGGTCCAGTCACAACTCAGTGTGGTCCAAGCACAAGCAAATACAAGTCGCAGGATGTGTGATTTCAAGCCACAGCCAAGTGATTTAGATGTGGCTTTGGGCAGACAAGACCGACGTAGAAGTAATGAGCCAAACAAAGTCTTACAATGATTGTTTTACAAATGCAAGGCGTAAATTGATAGGCCTGATTTAAAACTTAAGTGGGTTTGATTGAGTCATTTTCTGACTTGCCTTGGTACATGTAACAAGTTATAATACATGTATTCAAGGCCAAGTCAAATCACAAGTCATTTTTTCGCAAATCCAAGTCGAGTCACAAGTCGGACTCAAGTTCAAGTCAAGTGACTTTAACTCAAATCTTACCTTAACTCAAGTCTTTAACTCTACTGGAACAGGATCAAAATATGTTTTAATTCTTTGTACAAAACAAAATGAACGTTTGTTAAACAGGAATTTGGGCAGGAATTTCTTCAAGGGACGCCACGATTAAGCTTTTAGTGTTTGCTTGATAACTCCTTTTCTGCAGACTTCTAAAGTGCATTTAAAAGGTTCATCTATTTTAATGAGAAACTCGTTGAAAATGAAACTACCTCTTCACAAAATGTTTGAGCCCATTTCTGGGTTTCGTCTCCCAGTTTCGGCTCATGTATTTTGTGGAAAGGTTGGAGAAGCAGCAGTTTTAAAGAACTAAATTAGGTGAGGGGAGTGTATCTGTGAAAGAAAATAATGGCCAGTTTGACTTTTATATTCCAAAATATTTATTAGTTCTATATATGTTTTATGTTGATTGACAGAACACCAAAAATTATTTATCAAATCGAATTAAAATTTCATCAATGAAATACATTTTGATATACATGTAAATACACATGTAGCATGAACTTTAGAATCTAGAAATAATACAGACTGGCAGGAAGGACGGGGCACTCAAATTGTCGACGGCACATTTTCATTGCATTTATAAATCTCCAGTAGATACTATTTATTTGTCATTAATTGCATTTTTACTAATTCCATTTGTCTGGCATATACAAAGTTTAAAGAGTCTGAGATTGTTCCACTAAGGGGCCGTCCATAAAGTACGTTCGGGGGTTGGTGCTGTTGCATACACCATGCATACAGGGGGGATTTAAGCCAGTGTGTACATGTACCCATACACAAACCAAAAATTTGCCTTTAATGAATCTTCAGCGTATCAATACACTTTCTCATACGTACCAGAATCAGCTTTTGAGTGTCGATAAACCACTCAGTCATTAATCTTCCCTTGCCAATGCTCCTTATTAGTAAACCGCAACATTACTCATGGCACAAAACCATAGTGTCTCCCAGAATGCGTATGCGTACAATGGGGCAGGGGTTTGAACCACTGCATACACCATGTGTTCAGGGGGAGGGGGTCTGATCAATTGGCATTTCGTGCCTGCTTTATGGACTACCCTTAAGTTTGTACCATGTCTGTGGTGAGTAAGTTTAACTGTCTGGAACCATGCAAGTCAAGGTTGAGGGAAGACTTTACTTGGCATTTGCATTGTACAAAATACTACATGTACTTAATTGTCACATTTTGTGTGTATCACTGATCAAAGGCATGATGACAAGACTGCTTTTGGATGTATAAATTGATTGCTGTGTAATCACCATGATCACTATGCAAATTGAAGGGTTATAATGTCAGAAATATTTCTACTTGGTACAGTATTATTTCAAGAGGCTTTTATAGAAATATTGATTGCTTTTGAGTTGTAAAACTAGTCTCCCAAGATGGAGCAGTTTATCTTCCCAAGTCAGACTGGAAGGGTGTGGCCAGAGACATGGGGTGGAAGCATGCATGTACATGTATGTAATTTGGCAGTATCAGTTGATGGACAGGGGCCTAAAGAAGCAGCACTGTCTGCATGGTACACATTTCTGGAACATTACTGAAGGTGTCAAACCGTATCCAGCTCCCACTCACCTGCCATTGTTTTTTCCAAAGTTGTTTCGGTGTCTTGCTTTCCATGATGAGAATCTTCACCAAGTGTTCAAGGTATTACCTAGGAAGGCTAGTTTTGCTGCACTGCAAGTAAAAGCAGTCCATAGTTGTTTCTTAATATGTCATATTCTGTTACTTTCAGAGGTAACTTATTAAAATACACCACAACCCGATGTCAGTGTTTTGTACCATAGTTCACTTCAATCTTGATTGTCACTTGTACATTTCCAAATTAAATGTCCCCATGATATCAATGGTATATGGTCAATTTACAAATCACTAGACTGCATATATGCTTAATGGGATGTGCCTGCTTACTAGACATGTTATAGAGTAAATTTGGCTTACCTCGTTTACTATAATTGTAACCTGTCACCACAAATTGAGCTAAAAGTTGGAATTTTCAAATAGTGAGATTTTGTTATTTTTGAATTCAACAGAAAGAGGAAAACCGAGGGTAAAAGTATATGGTAACAATGTAACATTATTCTAACAGCTTTGCGTCTGTTTCCAACCTACTTTCAACATTTCTGACTAGGCACAAGTAATGCTGCCATCAAAATTGCAGACAAAATGACATTTTTAAATATATGATCCTGCAATATTTGGAATTAAATGGGAGAAAGGCTACTCTTTCCAAATATTACAAAAATTCAAAATTTAACCTCCACTTCAATATTTGACTTTGAATTGTCAAAATAGGAAAGAGCACAGTGCGACATTACGGTGCCCGGTTGTGACAGGTCACAATGGTGGTGGATGTAGCTAACACACAACCTCAAGAGAGTGCTCATACAAATGTACATGTATAATGCATTTCTGTACATCTTTCAAACATGGTTAGTTTTACACATCCAGCATAAAGTTATCCATAGCAACTGTTTTTTTGTCCGTCTAAAGCTTGTAACAAATGTTGCAAGAAGTGACCTATTGTGCTTCCAGAAGAGGCCCGTCCTTTGAAAATATACATGTACATTCATCAAGCCATGTACCTGGTCTACATAATCCTTTAATAATGTGATTATGCCATAGGCGTAAAAGCTCTCACTTTAAGATTAATACCCGGCCTTCTTTACAGTGCCTTGCATGTACTAGGGGCAAGGGACCAGCCTGCTTCATTAGCACTGTTAACTGCCCCCTGCAATCACTGATACATGTAGTAGTTTTTATCAAATCCACAAGTTGTCAGAGCAAAATCCTTTAAAGAATCTTTTGCAACAAAACCTGTGATAACGTTTTCATCTAAATATATATTCCATTTCCATCAGGATGCTAAATTGATTAAAACATCAAAATAAAGAAGTATTTGCTCTTTCTAATGCAAAGTGAAACAAAATTACAGGTGTGGCTGCCTAATTTTGTGCAATGCAGTCAATTTCCGTGGTTAAAACTACAAATTAGAAAAATAAATTAAATTTCCCTTACCTGCTTCTGGGCAACATGGCAGCCTGTATGTTCAGCAGAGCAGACTCTTCCATATTGCCTGAACTGATGGTTGAATTCAAGACTCAAAGGCAGAAACTGTTGCAATGCCTGGCATGAACTGCCGTCCCAGAAACATACCGCATACTACTGAAATAAATCACACCCTGATAGGCAACAACACACGGGACAACATACAGTCACAATGTTTCTCCAACTCATTGAGCATTTTTATTAACTGTTGTACAATAACACCAAACCAAGATTTAAACACGTCGGCATTTATGCTCCTTTTGTCACCAATTATTGTATGGGTACTACCTTGCCAGCACACATGCCACCCGGTAATGGGCAAGTGCTGTCTAGTTCCGACTTCAGCATGAAAGAAAACAAAATATAAGCAGAAGAACAGCTTTGGTTGATTCTCAGCTTACTAATAACAATAACACTGGTGGCAGCAGTGCCTTCCACCTTTGCAAACCTGGGTCCCAAACTCAATTTGCCGATTCAGAAGCATTTTGGTGTAACAGTTACCATCCAAACCTGTCAGACTCGGCAACATAAGGCCATTTTGTCACACTTTGGAACTCTTGGACTGTATTTTCCGAATCAAATTTGCAGAGCATAAAGGATGACCTGTTCTTTGACCAAGCCAATCGGATCACTTCCCTCCTCCAAACACACATAATAGGCCAGTTTAGAAATTGGCATGAAAACCAGCATGAACACAAATTTGTGATACGGAAGGTGGCAATGCACATTTATAGTTCAACTTCATGTTGAACACGCAATTGTACGTATTTCAGACGAATTTCACCATGTACATTTTTGGCGTCAAAAATTAAGTGTGCAAATTTTTGATGTCAAAATTTAAGCATGCAAATTGTTGACATCAAAGAAAAAAATTGAGTACAAAGGCCTTTCAGGCAGTCATACTGTTGTCACGCAGTGATGAAAGGCACAACGTGACAACAAAAAAATTATGCAGGCTCACCCTTGTTGCAGTGCATCTGTAGAAAAAAAATGGTTTTCTTTAAAATACCCTGTTCCACTTTGAAAGGAGAAACATCTATAAATGCTAGTGTGCAATGTAATCCTTGGTTTGTGGAACTTGTCAGAAACATCACTTCCTCGAAACAATGACCACTAATACACCCAGCATGATGAGCAAGTAATGTTTTTTACTTTTCTCATACAAATCAAATTAGTTCTTAGGAAAAAAGCCATTACACATGTACTGGCACATGTAGTTTGATAACATGGCATCTCTTTTGACTGTGATTCTGATGGTCAATAACGTGTGGTCGCCAGGTACCACTGAAATAAAACCATTGTTAAATGTACTGTAGAAGTGTTTTTTTTTCAGCTTGACACGATCAGGATTTGGAAAGTCAAACAGTAACACCTAGAATCAAGATTAATGTTCTGTTGTATCCTTTAGGTGCTCAGTACATGCATTACACAAAAACAGTACATGATCGTCTGGAAATGGATGGACAGGGTTTCAGTGGTTCTTCCATGAATGGAGAAGTTGCCCAATTGCAAAAAAGTCAGAAAACAAATTCTTATAATCACAGGCAACGCGACTTATTTTGGTCTAACTTTCTGAAGTGCACAAAGACAGTGAACCTCCACAGAAATCAAGACCCCTATCAATAACCTCTCGGTGACAGCAAAGGTGCACTTTTTGCCTCTACTTGCTTTAATAACCACAGAAAGAAAAGCAAGCAAACACAGAGAAGCCATCTTGAATGCATAACCATCGAGTATGCAGGAGTCTCCAAAACCCACGCAATTCAAGAAGTATTCTCAGAAGAGAGTTTTAACAATTTATATAACCATGGGAGAAAACACAATATCTAGGCCAACTTCAGAAAAAAAAGGAACTCTCGAGTTTACTACAAAAGAACAATGCCAATGGGTATCGTGAATATATGATTAAGAGAACAAAGAAAAGGAGCAATATTTATTTGCCCAAAATTATCTGGGTCTATGTTAATACCCAGATCGGTAAAATGTAACCTCACCTCCTGAAGTTAAAAGTTAGTTAAAGTGTACTCGTGTAACCTACACGTCGTTTTCTTAGGTTCAAAAGTGAAAGCTGTTTTACAGGACTTTTTGTTAAAAGTATTATACGGCCACATTGCGAGCCACGCCCGCAGAATGAGCTGGAACCGGCAACAGTTTCTCTCATAAGTGGGCATTTGGAGAATAGAAGAGACTAACGTCTGTACAAGAAAACTATACACGGTCGCAAGTCAAGGAAATAAATTACCTGTGATGCAATTCAACACCACTTATTCTTAGCTTATTCACCAGTGTTTTACCAAAAGCCTTAAATCAGTTTACATAAACGACTGATTTCAATGCAATCTTAACCCTATTAACTGCGTGGGCTATTTTTTTTGCTGAGAAGCTTCCAGAATCCAGCAAAGTCTAACACTACATTGACCAGGTCACACCTTGGAGGGCACGTAAGCACGATCTAGTAATGTGCATGTATATACAAGTATTATCGTCAAGCATTTTTTTTTTTTTCGAGTTTCCAGCTATCTCATCTCCATTACTTCTGTACACGCAAAGAACAGCCCAGGCAAGTATACAAAGATGGGCCATGTGTTGAACTAGGCTGCTCTGCTGGTACTTGGCCTGTTGTAGCAAATATTGCTTCACTGGCAAGCCTTTACAAAGCTGCAGTCTGGAGAATAGAACATATTTGTACAAATGTCTCTCAATGTCTCTCAAGGGTCAGTATTTGTCAGGTTTGCATTTACAACTGTAAAACTTCAGTGACATATAGCTTGCCTTTTCCCCCATATTATGTTTTTCAGCCAAAATGGCCCAGGATGGCCTATTATTGGCCTATCATTCTTGGAAGCCAAGCACCTTACAAGAGAATAGACTATACATGCGTGAGCAAGCGAGGGAGATATTCTTCCAAGCAAACAGTGACCCTCAAGATGACACACCATAAGCTCGCTTCTTCAGCACAGGATTCAATCTTTTGAAGGACCGAGGATAGCTTTTCGTCCCTTAGAAGTTGAAATGCCAAGAATACGTCACTGGTTTCCTGCCCAGTGGTTGATTTTGAAGGATTAAGGAAGGTTCTTAGCTGGAAAAAAATAAAACCAGGAGTTAGGGTGTACATGTGTAAATTTTGCATTCCATGGGCATACACGCAGTGCACACGTTCATGGGCTTATTTTGCCATAACATGATCAAAGACAATCCACAAAATGTGAAGCAAAATTTACAACAGTTGTTGCAAAGGCTTTCTCAAGAATGGAAATTAAAAACATGGCTCACTTTTGACAAAGCGTGTCATATCCTTGAACATATCTTAGAAGCAGCAACTGCAAAAGCGACTGCATTCAGTTTCCTAGTCAAATATTTTTTCGTTCGAACCTCATTTTACATGTATATGTCCATATAAAAGCTTTTCTTATTTTGAAGAAAATAACAATAATTTGGTTGAACAGATTCGTAAATATCTGATAGACCATGAAAAGGAATCAAATATGCATTAAATCCAACAGTCCCAATCCGGCAACTTCAATGACTTTCTCACACATCCTAGTGGGTTGAATAATAAGGGCAGAGTACCCTACAAAGAAATTACAAGCAGAGGTTTATTACCTCCAAGAAGTATGCCGTTCAGCTGAAATGGCACCGTCATCAAGACAAACTAGGATTTTCAAAGAATTGCAACAATTCAGCTATCTCTAATGTGGAAATATGTGTACACTGTTCCCTTTGGCAACAGGTCGGGTACAACTCACGCTTAACTTGCTTTTGGTGACCCCTTGAAAACAATATGTGCACCCTCGTAGGTGCTCCCTCAGAAATTAAGCCCAATTATGCCACTGGATCTGCATTGTAGATCTTTGTAATGCATGGTGATATATCAACTGGGGTACATGTAACAGCCATGTCACCAACACTGGACCAACCATTATTGACTGGCATACGTTTCACGACCAGGAAGTCGCAACAAAGTTTAGCACAGGGTTAGAACAGACTTGATTTCGTCAACTCGCGAATGCCCTTTCATTCACAGCTTGAGCTGTGCGGCTGCAGTGCCCCAGACAGGGAGGCAGAAACTCGGCATACTTCGTGTGGCAATAAAATATCTGCAAGACCCCAGCATCTGTGAAATTGTTAGCTGGGCATCAGAAACGAGAAACCTAGCTCGGTCGGTTAACAACTCTCTCATTGTGTGGAGGTGGCTCGCATGTCTCCGCTACAGTTTGTTCGGACATCAGTGGGAGTCTGGTTGAGACTGGCCTCATGCTGCGCACTCTTTAACTTAGCGGAGCTTCAATACTTTGCCAAAACCAATAGTTTTTCCTGTCCAAAATGGAAAAAAAAACATGTTTGGCTTCTCAAAACTAGAAAACTCTTCATTCAGAGCTGGGTTAGGAATGCTATTCAAAGTGGTAGCTAGAGAATGATCACTAGGTCAAGTATCTATCCCTTCCACGTCCCATCTTAACACCCATACTTAACTTAACTGGGACTTATCGAGAGGAAGAAAGTCGGAAAATGGCTGTGAAAGTGGAAGCCTTGGCATCTTGAAAATGTAGGGATGGAATGTAGTAAAGCACTGATGTTATTGAATTTTTTTCCCTTGGCAATGGCATGTGTAGCCTGGTGGGTACATTATTGAAGTATTTAATGGTATTTCTCTGGCCAGTTGGACGTGTGGCCTGATGGTTAGCGTTTGTAGCTACCGACCATAATGTTAAGATTCAAATCTAGCAACTGGGTACATATTATGGCCTTAGGCGAGTCACTTTACCCTAAATTAACCTTCCCATCAGGCAGTTTTGTGTATGGCCGTGTCCGAACAGGCTTCCAGAGCTACAGCTAGGTCCATTGTCTGTGCATCTCCACGTACTTTCAATGGAGTGAAGACCTAGACCTAGCTTTGGACTACGGATTTGGATGCAGCCTTCATTTGATTAGCCTTTTGTGCCTAAAATGGCAGCACCTAGCTAGCTGTATACATGTATTCCACAGGGTGCTGTGCAGGAAATATTTATTAAGGGTCCCACAATCACACTACAAAATGCCATAATAATTATCAACAAAGAAAGTTACAACCCCAAAGCCTACCTTCATCGCGCAGAGTGAACCGTCCCATTTGTTGGAAGTCGTTAAATGTCTCCATGCACAGCACTCCCGCACACTCAAACCGCGCGATGGCCACCTGGTCCTGCTTGATGAAGCGGGGGCGCATTTTGGTCCTCTCCCCGGACTTCTTGTCGACCAAGGCGATGAGGGTCTGGGAGAAAAGAGGGGGGAAGGGAGAGAGATCGGTAAATGGGTCAATTTCTATAGAATGGTTCCAATGGTGAAAGAGTGATTGAGAAGCATATATCCCACTCTTTGACCAGGCAAGCTACACCACATAATCGAGGCAGGCCGTATAACAGAACTTTGGGATCGGTCTGGTGCCTTTGCATCATTCTTAAACACTGAAACCATGTGCTGGTACCAAGTATCCCTTACGTAACTCTGAGACCACCTGCTGAAAATCGTGTGATACGGCAAGAGCATGTTTACAGAAAACAAGTTAAATGTTTCCAATTCTGATCCCAGTGTTCCCTAATTTGTCACCATGAGTATTCATCACTATGAAAGGCTTCCACAAACAGACATTTTTTAGTCAACAACTTACAGTTATCTGGACCTCCTCCACCGCTGTGTGGATGTGTAGCACCGCACTGTAGCCAGCACAGATGATGGACTTGTGTTCAGCAATCAAAATCTGTAAGGGATAAGCCAACATTCAGGAGAATACATTATGCCATGTAAGTAATGAACGGTAAAGCTTATTATGAAAGTCAACATTTGTTTCCACAGTGTGTGTGAATGTAAGGTATGGGGGAGTCTGTTAACCACTTCATGCCGGGGCATTTTTCAATGTTGATGATGCTGGGCCGGCATGACTATCATTTTTTCCATTTTCAAAATCCTTCAAAAATTTACCACTTCATTTAACGGTCGTTTATAAGTGCACAAAGTAATCTTTCTG